ATGACACCTCTATATAGCAGAGAATGTTGAAAAGTATAGTGATCATTCGTTTTAGTCAATTTCCTTTATCTTCAGTGTCATTTTCTTGGGACTCCAGAAATGGTACTGTGTAGTCGAAACCCTACTCAGAATACGTAATTATGCTTGCAGAGACCTATTCAGAATGGATGTCTTTAAATGACTGAGTCTGCACCAAAGCAGGAATGCATCTGCACATAATTGTTCAGTTAAACAATAGAAAAGTAATACAGGGGAATATTTAAATCAAATGTAGCAATCTTTATAGTGCATCAAAGCTTGATTTAGAGTAAAAGTTATTGTTGAAGCCCTTTGAAAGTAGTTAATACAAATTTACTTAGGTTTCAGTATCAATTCCAGGACCTGTCTTTGTGGGAAAAGGCAATGGGAGTCATCAGGGATAATCAGAGCTAGCTAAAAATTCAAGTATTTACAGTATTCCATCTTCCTTATTCCTCTACAAGTACAAGAGAAAATAGCAGTACAACAATAACATGTTGAAATAACAATAACATTAGAATCCTGGGAGTTACATTTCCAGCTGGGAACAGTACCATGACTCCCACTGCAAGAGCACTGAAAGGAGGAAGAAAGAAAGAACAAAGAGAACAGTGCCTGCTGGCTCCCAGTTGTCAGGGCAGTATGTAGAGCCCGCAGTGCTCGGGCTTTCCCAGAAGAGCCGGGTCTGCCTGACTGCAGAAACCTCTGCAGACAGGCAAGCTTTCCCTCCTGAAGGATTCCTTTCTAAAGATTAGGTGAAATAGGCCCATGTGAAAAAGTCTGGGTTAATATGTTAATTGGTTCAGGGTACCCCAATAACTGGCTGTTAGGACTGCTTGTCTGTGTCAGTTTGTTGCTGTCCTCTGAGTTGATCTCCTCTCTGGTTTGTCAGTTCTGTTGGATTTTGATGAACAAAGGCAAATGAGTGAAATCAGCTGAGCCCAGAGCCTGAGTGTGATAAATGCAGAGGTATCTTTCCTTGTACTGAAATTATTTGAAATATTCTTGTACATAATTAGTGGCTTCCTTACAGCTTTTTGCTTAAATCAGGCATGTGCTGTTATACCTAATAACAGTTTATCATCTGCTTTGACCCTTAGGTGATAACTGTTCTGTTACCTCTTGGCTATCAGGAGTCCTGATGCTGACTGTGTCCAGATAATTGTATTATCACAAATCTAACAAGTTATTGTTTAAATCTTGCATTGAGTTGCTGAGAAACAACCAAGTGCAAGCTTAGAAACTCACAACTGTTTATATTTTTGACTGGACACGCAGAAGCAGAACCATACATAAGGCCAGGATTATGAATCTAGTTTCTGAAAACACAATGAGTGTTGCATTGCCTTGGATGGCTGTTTTGGTTGATGCCCCTCTGTCTGATCCAGATGGTTACTGAGAACCATCTGGATGGAGTTTGTGGTAGGAGAGTGGAATCAGGACACTTAATGTTCAGGACACTTTGAGCATCTCCCTGCTTAGTAAAAGAATAGTAATATTGTTGGATCTACATTAAAAACTATTTCACAAAGTAGATTTTCTACATTTAAAGATTCGAAGTCTTCCATAGCAAACACTCTTTGCTAAGACCTGTGAAAACTGAAAAAAAAATCAATCTGCAGAAGTCCTGCAGCGGGATTTGGACTGTGTAGGGGATTTTGAGCCATTCCATTTCTGCTCACGACCTATTTGTGCTGATTGCTGACAGCTGTAATGCATTTCAGAAAGAGTAGCAGAAGAGCTGAAAATTGCTGAAAAAGTGGTTGAGTTTGTTGAGTTTACATTCACTCTGGGAATGAAATGAAAGTAACATAAACTCTGAACTCAAGAGTAAAATGTTTTGAAGGCAGAAAAATTAGCAGCAGGTTAAGCGTAAGCAAAAGTGCATCTTATAGACACCTTTGTACTTGGCTCCAATGAGAGAAGTTAATGGGGGTTGAATGTGAAGTTTCTGTTGCTTTTGTGTAGTTTGCTGGGCTGTCTTGAATTGTGATTGCTTGTTGGTGGCATCATAGATTTCTGATAACTGGCTGTGAAAGAAATGGTGTGGTGAGCTGATGTGGAGACAACTGGAAATTAATTGAAAAGAGCACAGTGGTGACTGCCGTGCCTGCGGCTGAGGGGAGTGGACAGGGCTATTTAGGCAGAACTGAGGTGAAAATGTACTTCTGATGCCATCTCTGATGTCTGCAAAACTGCACTCAGCATATCCCAGCTCCTAGCTTCTTTCTTTCACCCCTGCTCCTACCATTACCCTGTATAACCCAGCATTTCCTTAACAGTTAAGGAAAAGCTACCTTTGACTTAGGAAGCTCTTCATACATCAGAACTGGTTGGCATTGCTCAATTTTTGTTGTTTCTACGATGTTCTAGAGACCAGAGGTCACTCCAGTGCAAGTCTGGTGTCTTGGACAGTTATTCAGGTGTCCCATAACAATACCCTCCATGTGATCCCTTGGCTTCTCCTACTTATGTCTGAGAAGTTTCTTTGATTATCCAAGACACAAGTTCTTAGAGGATGGAAGCTTTTCAGCTCTTGCTGTCTGGGAGCTTTACAAGGTAAAACATCAGTTTTCCCAAGACAGAATAGAAAGCTTATTACACTTCCAGCATTTGACAGTGTATAATTCTCTTCTTAGGCATTCAACCCCTTTCTAAACTCGTGCTACCAAATCAGCAGTGTCAGTGAATGTAGTTTTTCAAAATTCAGCAGACATGTAGCACATGTTTGGGCAACCAGTGGCTCCTCAGGGTGGTCCCATTTCTGATTACCACCGTCTTTGCTGTCTCTCCTCTTGCCCACATGCCCATTCATACCACCTAGCATTCAGTTGTCATTTCTGATCGTGTAACTCCCTGGGGTTCTCTGACCCTTCTGTCAGCATCTTCATTCTCCATTTAAAACATGCTTTATTACTGGCACAAGAAGACTGAATAAATTTTAAGGATTACGTGATGTGCAGCCATGATTCTGTGAAACTCCTGTGGTGATTGCTACTAATAACCAGTCATGTCCATTTGACAGTTACATCAGCTTCTGTGGAGCAAGTGGAAAGTTGGCACTGTACTGACTGGTGTGGGTGCCTCATCTGTTTAGGAAAATGAGCATTTTCTCTCCATAGGACCTTGTGAGACCAGCAGTCAAGTATGTGTAGGGCTTGGAATAAACAGTTTGTCTTTGGTTGACCTGCCATGCAGAGTCTTGTCAGAGAACAACTCAGCACCAATCAGGTCTTCTAGCATCAGAAAATGTTATGACCAACTGAAAGAAAGATGTTCATAAAAAATAACAGGATTATTCCTTGTAAAGAAACTTAGCCTACGTTTTTATGATTAGAAGTAGCTTCTTATTTCTGCAGTAGTTAAAACAAAATATTGCTTAAATTGATGGGTGTTTCTTCTCTGACATTCACCTTGTCAATTAATGGCTATTTTTCCCCATATTAGATATGTTCTTAATTACAGGAATAAGCAGTAACAAATGTCAAAGAGAAAGTAAAAGCTAACCAACTAACAAAGGCCCTTGTCTTTTTTTGCATACAGGCTTCTCTGTTTCGCTGAAGTGTGGCCTTGTTGGCATCATATCTGCAAAACCAAATTTCCAAAAGAAAACCACTGTGTTTACAAATAAATTATGCTACCCATACACCCTAAACTGCAGACTAAACACCCTCCAAATAAACATGCTGGTTGCATATGTGTGTCAGATTTTGGTCAATACTGAACTCTGCGGTGATGCATCATCATCTTTATCTCAAACTTTTCCACACTGGTGCCATTTTCTGATAGGAATTTCCTTTACATCTTGGCCAGCTGAAGATGGTTAGTAACATCTGTGCTATTACAAGGCAAAGGCTTTTTTAATCAACTTAAAGAAATACTATAGAACCTAGATAATTTAATGCTTTAATTTGATAAAATACAGTAACTTACCTTTTCTTTGTTTACATCTTTTAATAACAGCATCCTTTAACTGTTGTAATTATTGTGTGAGAAAATCTTCATGTATGAGAAACTGTGGGTTTTTGTTGTACCTATTCTCGCCAGGCACAAATGGGTATATTTTAATAGGAAATCTCAAGACAATTTTTCTAGTGTATGTTTTTCTGCACTTGAGGCATTTCACCTGTGCTGCACGCACTGCTGACTCACTTGAAGGTAGAACAAACAAGATTACATGTTTTTAAGTTGGCAAAAACATTTAATCTTCTTCAGCAATCTCTGAATTTCAGAGATTGTGCTGCTTTGAGATAATGCATGCAAAGAATGCAGGGCAATTTCTAAAATTTAGAAATTATATCCTAGTTCAGGGTGCTGAATGAGCAGCAGAGGTGAAATACAACTAGAAAAGGGAGCTCTGTTGGTGTGTAGCCATTAAGTGGGGGCAGGTGTATGTGTTGTTCAGATCTATATCATTGTGTGGGCTGTCCTGGGGCATTGTTACCCATGAGCAGTGCCACTCAGCTGAGCAGTGCTGTGCTGTGTTCTGGTCAGGGCTGCCCCAGCTCCTGTTCTGCTTTCCTTTCCTGTCTCCATTTAAACTGGGGCTGCATCTGTTTCAGAAGTGACTAGAATAGGTCAGCAACCTTTTCTTTTCAAAACTCTGTAGATCTGAATCAATTGTTGTGTAATTAAAGATTCAGCAAATGAGAGCTGCAGCCCAGGGATGGAAACGTGTACACTGCTAACTGTGGTGTATCTTCCCTGTACTGCTGTCATTGCTGTACAGAACAAATTGCAATAGAGGTAGGCTGAGTGTTGTGCTTGGTCATGGGAGCACAGGCTGGGAGCTGTGGACATGGGCAGTAGCAGACCCCCTTTCCCTGTCCTTGGGTACATTCTGTAGTTGCAGTGCTCCAACTTGGAGAAATTCCCACTTGACATGCATGGCTGATTCATGTGTGACTGAGATTTAAATCTATTTCTCTCATTCTTTTTCACAAGCAAATGTTATAGATATTTAAGCTTGGGTGGAAGGCCTGCATCCTCACTGTTGAAATCATTTGATGAGACGGAACTGATGTCAGTGTCAGGAAGAGGCCCCTTTACATTTGCCAGAAGCTAAGGTAGGCTGACAAGCATCCCCTTGCCATGAGGTTGCTGAGTGATGGCTAGAAGCATTTTGCTGCACCCACTGATGGTCAGGCCAACTCTGGTGGCTGAGAACACACTGAGCTTTTTCATCATTGTCTCAGTTGTGCCTGTCCCTCACATCTTCCACATCTCACCCGCTCGTATCTCCTGCTCTGTCCTTCTACCTTTCCATCTATTTCCTCTCAGTTAGCCTTCCCTCTTCCAAACTGCATGTCCACATAAGGGAAGATAATTGTAAAGCTATTGTGAAATTTAAGGGCAGTTTAGTGCTTGATATCACAGAAACTTCCTAAAGAGCTTCCTCCTGTCTCCTTTTTTTATCCATATGGTAAGTAGCTGGTGGAACGTACTGCAAGGGTAGTAAGAAATATCTTCCATCAACCATTCTTCAAAGCAAATGATTAGACTTTTGGCCTGTGAATAACAAAGTTGCATCACTTATTTCGAGATATATTCTGAAAGTGAGTTTTAATGAATTAGCATGTTGCAATAGTTTTATTTGGAAAAATTACATGTATTTCAGAACAGTCACCTTTGTTTTCCTGATGTGTTCTCTGGAAAACAATTTTTTAAGCACCAGGTTTAGCTGTTCCGTAATATGTAAGCTGTTATCTTATATGTAAGCTGAAATCAGACTGAAATTCAAATTTGAGACGTGCTTAATTGTTATCCAAAACTGCATGGTACATTGTTTGTTACCCGGAGTCAGTTCTTCAAGATATTCTTCATCTTCTGTAACTGGATTCCAGTTCCAGTCTTTCACTGAGAATGTGTATAAAAGCATATGTTGGCCTGTTTGTAAATGGAGAATCAAGACGCAGAACTGTAAACTGGAAGAATGCTACGTATCTGCAAAGGTCTGCTTAATGTTTCGTTATTTTTTCAGTTTTTGAAATCTTATGGTTCCATTCCAAAAAGCTTTTTTCTCTTCTACTCTGTGTGTATATGTAACACATAACATTGCAACCCCAAGTTTAGCCGCTTTGTTTCTTTTTACTTCATAACCTTTTATAAGGCTTAGCAAATTAAATTCGGTAATTGAAACAGACAAGTTTCTTTAACACAAATTATAGCCTATCTTAGAATGCATGATCTGTTTCATAGCCATTACTGTGACTAAGTGGGTTGTGTGGCAGGAGACTCAAGACTCTAGCTTAATAAATCATTGCCCGCTTGGTCAGTTTTCAGCATGAAAGAACAAAAGCATAATATAATTTCTGGTTCAAGTAGGGGATTATCAAGAAAGATTTGTGAGTTGTGTGCAACCCCCTAACCTTCTGGGAAAGAAGGCATTCTAAGACTCACTTATCTTTCCATGAATAAATAATACAGTCTTGCCAATTAAAAAAAATCCTTTATTGATGACATGCAGATTTATTTTGTGCCATACCTAGAATGCAGGTATCACAAGACAAAGTTTAATTCAATTGTGTAGATATCCCTGTGGGAAGGAAAAACCATGTAAAAGAGCCCCTGCTTGCCTTGAGAATGTGGGACAGAAGGAGCTGCACACAATTTCAGGCTAACTATGCTACAGACTACAAACCATCTCGTGGAGAAAACAAATGCCCAACTTACACAAATTACAATAGAAGTCCAGCTTAGTGATTTAGAGTTTCAGAAATACAAAAGGTATGGTAATATCAAATGGGAAGCTCTTCAGAGCTTAGTGTCTTGAATGCATGCAGATGAATGAGGATGTTTTAATTGTAGATCGAATGAAGTTTAACTTATTCAAATGGTCCTCTATGTCTTCACTTCTAATTGTACCATATGGCATCACCTAATAAGAGCCAAGTGCAGATGCCAGCTATATCACAGTATGATATATTATAAAGCAATCAAATTTGAAGTGAAGATTTATGATGGAACTCTTCTTTGTTAAAATCAAGCAAACAAAAAGCCATCTAATCTATTACAGGCACTGAACAGAGCACTATTTAAAGCTCCTGTTCCAAGAACTTGTCCTTCAGCAAATGTCCTGCATCCCTAGAAGTCTCAAAGGGGGTTAGGAGCTGAGAGAAGGATGCTAGAGGTGAGACTTACCTTTATTTTGTTGCCAGCACAGTTGGCTCAGTAAGGGCGAAGTGGCTGAGGGGCTACTCCATGCTGGTGCACAGCTGATGGAGCTGGAGCCTGTTTCCTCTTGTACACCTTAAGTGCATTTGCGAATCCCATTTTGGGTGGGTCTCCAATTCTTTCTCTTCTCCCCTGACAGCTGTAGCTACACATTAAAGAGGTGAAAGAGAACATTAGTTTTTATCCCTGAATAACCCATGCTACATCATTCTGTTGGTGTTGCTGGCACTAGGCTTGATCACATGTGACTGGGAATAGCTTTAAGGAGACAATCCCAAAGACTCGAAGTGCTGGAGGATCCTCTGCATTCTTTCATTTTCCTATGGGTAGAAGCATATGGTTCTGGGAAACTAGAATAACTTGAACATTAAATTGAGTGCCAGTAAGATTCTGTATGTTTATATCATCATTAAAAATGAATAAATCAATCAATAAGGCAGTATATTTTCTACATTGCCTTCTCATTATTTGCATCCAGAATTCACAGCAACTTCTCAGGAGCTGCAAAACTGTCATTCATTTCCATGCTTTGTTACAGGGTAGTGAAATTCAGGTTGTTTATTTTTGCTTTTTATGGAGCAAAAATATCAGCATATCTGCCTGTTTACTTCTTTTTTTTACGGCTCTCCAAATGATTTCTGAAATGTTTAGAAATACCACAAATAACAGTGAGGAGTTTGCTGTTGTTCCAGTGGTTAGAGAGGAAGGCACTGTAATTAATGCTTATTTAAGTTTGCCTAAAATTTAAAGTAGCTTGATAGCAGTTTTGAATTAAGGAAAACTACTTGGAAATATTTGATTTTTTTCCAGTGAGTAAGTTGGAGTTTGAGTAACCTATTCTGAATCTATATGAATACCTCTTTAGAAAAGTTACTCTTATGCTATTAGAAACAAATTCTAACTTAATGTTGAAGCAAAAAGCAGAGGCTGAGCTATATCCCCCTGGGACGCCAGGAGGACATCAGCATCCATCTGCAAACAGAAGGATTCAAACAGTGATTTCTGCCATTGCCAGTTAAAGAAGTTTTAGAAAAACAGTCACCAGGAATAATCTGCAGGTGAAGAAATTGCAACACATGTGCATTCTGACTGTCATTTGACCTATGTACAAGCATGTAAATCTCCCATTATTCCCAAACTGAGTAATCCGTAGATAAAACCGAAGCCATCAAGCGGAAATAATAGTCAGAACTATGTAGCACTGACAGTACACAGAGCTCGCTGCTCTCTTCTGGCCTTTGTTGCACTGCTTGCTGAGCGAGGGCTGAAATAAAACAGTTGCGCGAGAGTGTGTGAATCTTCAAGTACAACAGAATGATCTGTCCAGACTAAAAATACAAGAAAAGATGAAACAGGAGGAAGATTAAGGTTGATGTACAGGGCCTGAGACAAAGCAGTGACAACACGGAGATCTCCTCCTGCTGAAGAGGAGGTATGGGTTTGATCAGATGGGTCAAGCTCTGAGCTGAAGGAATCCTAGTTCTTCCTTGCATCTGCGTTCTGAGACCAGCATATTCGCAGAGCTATTTTGTTACAAAAGTGAAGAAGTGCCCTGGCAAACTTATGCCATACGTGACAAGAAGCAGATCCTCCCAAGTGGAGCAGAGCATGCATTTTCCTTTCAGATTTACCCAAAAAGAATTTTCATTGTTCTTAATAATTTAATCCAGGTTTCTGCCTCTTTGTATATGTTATGTACCGAGAAGTTCAATGTATAAACTCATTTGTCTACTTTTCTTTGCTGTTAAAGAGTTTTAGGGAAATAGCTGAAGATGGTTAACCATAATTAATGCTTTTTGGTCTGCCTTCTGCAACTGACCTCTTGAGGCAAATTGTCATGATGATAACTCTGACACTTCAAAAGATTCCCTCTGGAGGAGGGTGTCTACTGTGGCGCTTCAGTTGCCTGATCTCTCCAGGCTTCTTACACAGTCAGTGAAGAGAAAGATGTTTTTCCTGAGAGTCTAAGCAATTCAGAGCATCTAAATGAGCCTCTCTTCTCAATCAACCTCTCAGGCAATCGATCTCTTTCAATGACTATAGGCAGCATATTCAACTTGTAATGAGAATAAAAACAAAACAAAGCATAAACCCAGCGCTGCTTCCCCCATGAAATTTTTGCAGATTCAATGCAGCTTTTAGATTTGTTCCTATGTAAGTTGATTTAGCTGCATCTTTCTAGCTCTAGGTAGGGAATATCTCTGGAAAGAAGAGTAAGTAGTCCCAAAAACACCCCAGGAAGTTCTGGTTGAAGGACAGTTGCATCAGACCTGAGCTGTACCTTAAAGTCCTGTTGAAGGCGCTAGTTCACCAAGAGTAAAAGCTTCAAGATGTGTCCTTAAGTAAGTGGAGAGCACTATTAGTTTTGTTATTTTTAACAGGAAGGGAGCTGCCAGATTCATGTTAGCAGATTCTGGTTAAACGTCTCAGAGCTGATTTTCGAGGCAACTGGAGCAGACGTCCAAGTGTCACTGCAATCATGCAGCCTCCCAGACTATAAGCAGTGCACAGTAGGCTGAGCTGTGGTTTGTGGTTCTTTCACCAGACTCCTGGATGTGCAGCTGGAGGGGGTTCAGGCAACTTGTGGCTATTGTGGGACTCTGGCTCCCCATGCAGCCTCCTATACTGCACATGTTTCAGCTGTCTGAATGTTGAATCCAGCCAGGAAAACAGTCCCCATGTCTGCAAAACCTGTCTAACGAGCATTGTTCTGACAGACTTTCTTCTCCTTTCCAGTTGATTTCCAACATCTCTGGTAAAGTCATTTTCTTCTCATCACCCTCATGCTGTCACTTACACCCACAACCTAATTGGAGCAGCTTCCTATCATCCACCACATCATCCTTAGCACCAGAGTGATCTTCCATCTCTGCTCTCAGCCCTTTCCAGCCAGACTTTTCCCCATGCTTTGCTCTGTCCTCTCGCGCTAAACCTCCTTGTCTGCATTCTTAGCTTAAAAATTTCTGCTCTTCTGCCACGGAACTTGAAACAGCCTAGTGCAACTCTTTAAGATCCACTCAATAAATTCTGAAAGAGGAGAGGCTATTCAGACTTTGTAGCAAAGAAAATGCAAGATATGATCTCTCTGTTTTGGGTTAGTTTGGGAAGTTTTTACTGACAATGCTGAATGTTTCAGCTAACACTCATTCATGAACATCTCATTGTACTCAAAACTCAAGTTTTTGCCTATGCCTCCTATTTTGCTGCCATTTACAACCAGCAGGCAAGCACTGAAATCAACAGCGCTTGATTTTGTGGAGGAAAGTTTGTATCCAAATTTAAAATGGCATTTTATACAAATTTTGTTCTCACACTAAGAGAACAGGGCAATGGCATTTAAAAAGTACCTTTCCTCCTAATAGATCTGCAGTCGGATTTTTGCTTGAATACTTCCCATTTCTCTTCAAATGCCTTTTCTTTCACACTTGCTCACCAATCCTCTCTCTACATACCACAGAACTAGAATGTGTAAATTAACTGTGGCATTCTCACTGGTGAAACAGAAAAGGTGATGAGATCTGTGCCTTTGAATTAATGTAAATTGTTTGGGAACTCTTCATGAGATTTTTTTTTTTTTTTTTTTTTTAAGGAAACTTTCCCACTCTCTGGTCAGTATTTTAGTCATGGGTAAGTTTGTTTTATTTTCTTTAAACAGATGTTTTATCTGTCACATGTAATGCCAATCAGATTAGGTAATTCCAAGTGATCTTGTCAGTTTGTTCTGTGTAAGTCTTTACAGGACAGGCAGCCCTTACTGAAACGGTTCAGGAAATTCATTTGTCTTCTGTTCGTTGTCATACTTTGCTGCCACAGAAAATCATTTCTCACAATACCATATGTGCTAGAAACTTTATTCTGCTCTATACTATATCGGATTTATTTTATGGTGACTGATGCTTGGTTTTCATGTTTTAGATCAAGAGGAGCACTTCTGTAATGGGTTCTGACAGTGTTTATCAAATCCACAGCTCTTGCCTTGCTACATCCCACAGAAATGAAGGTAAATGCTGTCAGTGTGTAGGCTGAGGCCAGGCATTACCGTTTCATACAGGTCTTGCAACAGTAGTTTGTTCATTTTTAGAAAAAAAAAGAATGTAAAGTGTGAAAGAAGTTGATCATCTGTATCTGTTACGCAGGATAAGTTAAATTCTTTGAAATGTCTGTTAAGAGAGAGATCGCCTGCAGTTTTCATTGACTTGAATTGCACATAGATGTCTAAGGACAGGACTTGACACACTTCCTATAGAAATGACAGGAAGATTCTTAGTATTACCTTTCATAGTGCATCAAATGCAAGTTTTTAAGTCCTAGAAAGTGGCATTCAGCCAGTGCAGTCTCTTACGCAGGCTTTAATCTGATGGGGTGACTTCTATGTGAATAGTGCTTACTGATTACATGATTCAGTGTTAAAAGCTGCAGAACCAGAGACTAAGGAGAGAAATGTTTTCAGCTGATACTTCAAATAGCATAGTGGTCTTTATATCTTGTGTCAGTTCATCACTGAGGCATTTCATCACCTTCAAATCAAACTTTTAAGAAAACCTTGATTCCTGAGAACTGCTCAGGGCACAGGTGGACATGGATAATAGCTGAGGTCACTACTTCAATTTTGCTATTGTAGCAATAATTAAAAATAGTTACTATGGAAAAAAAAAGTCTTAGTTTTAGCGTAGTTTCTATTCTTGATTTTTAATGCTTGCACTGGATGAGCTCTGTGCATTTGAGAGGAGCTTGTTTTGCTTTGGTGTGGTCCTGTGGCAGCATCTGAGCAGGACAGCAGGGTCAGCACCATTGTGCCTCCTGCTACATCTGCTTTCCACAAGCTTTCGTGTCCTTTCATCCCATTCTGTCTTTCGGGTCCCTTTGCACCCTCATCTGCCAGGTGCCACAGGAACAGCTGATTTATAAACGCCCTGCGGGAATGAACTCCTGCAGAGTAGCAGTCAGGCAGATGGGTTTTGATGATTTTGCAGCCCCTGTACAAGGCAGCAGCCTGCCATTCCTCCTCATCGCTTCTCAGGCTGTCACTTCCTGTGGCGTCTGCTCCTACATGGCTCAAAGAGAAATTCATGTGAAGTGACCTGCAGATATGTGCTAGAGCAAGATAAGTGTGCTAAGCACTCTTGTGACTTAAGAAATCCTTTGAAATGTAGTGTACTGGAAGTTGGGTGAATATACAATGGCTTACAGATTTATGTCTCTGTGTGTGTACCTGCGTGCCCACGCTTCTCTGGTTGTTCTGCTATTCCACAGCCATAAGCAGTTGTCTCTTGTCAAAGAACTGCCTTGTGAGCTCGGCTGGGCCCTGGCTTGCTGGTGCAGCTGTTCTCCTGTCTTCATGTCTAATAGTAAGGGCTGTGATCAGGCCATGCTCTGAGCATTTCTCAGAGAAGGAACAAAGAGAAAGGGATCAAGTTCTATGGCAAAACCTATTGAGGCCCTGGTGTTTTAACAGAACTGTTTCTGGGTTGGTTTTTGTTTTGTTTTGTTTTACTGGCTCAATGTCCTGTCAGCATGTAAGCTTGCGGAGGTAATCTGGGTATTCTTGAGTGGCTCAGGAAGCCATATTTCTTGCTCTTTTCCCCAGACATGACCCATTTCTGTCTAGGATGATCATTCAATTCTGCATCTGAGCATAGGCTTTTGGCTGAGGTATATGTCAAACAGAACTGACTCCTTAAAGCCAAGAATAAATCCAAGAATTTATACATATGCAAGGAGCCTTTCTGCCTGGTCTGCTCAGCCCTAGCAATTTGATTACCTTTTCAATCCTCTCTTTGCAAGAAGAAAGATTGTTTTTTCTTTTCCACTCCTCCTTCAAAAGTAATATTCTTTATAGCATGAAAAGCTGTCATGTATAACGAAGGGCCTGTGTACATGCCATCAATACTGGGTGGACTTCTGCCAGGGAGAAGATGATGTTAAGACCTGTTGCAGATGGAGGACCTGAACTTTTTTTTTTCTTTTAAGAGGAAGGATTCAAACAATTTACATTTAAAGATATGATCTTACCATCCATATTGGCGAACAGAAATTTTATTCCTCAGCATGGGAGCACAAGTATCATGTTAGCAAACTGACCACATCTCTAGTAAAATAGCAAGTGGTACAGATTACAGGAGATCTTGTGACTGGGTATTGCTTGGCAACGATACATGTTTAGGTCACAGACTTGGTAACATAACTCATGCTAGGTCACAGACTAGGTGACATGATTCCTGCTGGAATGAATAGGTAACATCTGACTGGGTAACACACAGTGTTCAAAACAACTCTTTCTCTGTTGCTCTCTGGCAACACCTGTTGTAAAGAGAGGAACACAGAACATTAAAGCAATATTAAAGGTGAGAAATCTAACTTTTTGGAATTTGGTGAATGGTAAATATTGTTCTACTAAAACTTCTCCAGATGGAATTTTTGCTCTTGTTTATTTAACTAAAAATACTTGCTTCATTTTCTTCGCATCCTAAATATATATATGTCTCAGTAAAGAGTTAGCATTGTGTCAAAACATTGACTTTTTCCTTTTTTTTTTTTTTTTTTTTTTGTGTGTGTGTGTGATTTAATGTTGCATTTTGCATTACAATATATAAATGTGGATGTTTTGATGTTATAGAAAGAAAGTCAGATTTTTGTGTGGTGACCTTACTGCTGCTAGCACTTTGAGTTCCTTTTCAGGTTAATAGGCCAGGCCTGCTCATGTTGCCCTTATATCACAATATCATACCTTTGCAACAGAAAGACATGCTTGTGGCAGATGTTTTCATACAGTGCTTTTTTTTTTTGCTTTGGTCTGAAAATTGTTCTTCAGAATGTGCCGGTTTTCCAACTTCAAATAAGCATGTATTACATTACTTTATTATGCAGAAATCCTATGGAAGTTAACAAAGAACGTGCTGAGTGCATCTTTGGACACTAATATAAGGATCTAATCACATGCCAAGAAAGGCAAGTTGTGCAAGTCTGCAGTGAGTTCTGGATGAGAATGCGGTCAAAGCGCTGTTTGAGTCTGCTTCTGACATAGGGCAGATGTGTATGTGTTTGTTCTTAAGAAAATAAGCAAGTAATGCAAAATATGCTTGACCTCTGCACTGATTTGGGTTTGCTCTTTTAAAGAAAGAACTCTTGAGGTAGCTCTTGCCAGAGAAGTAACGATATGTTTTTTAAACAAAATTGCACATTTTCTTTCCAGATGAAGTGTGAGGTTACGAGGTTCATCATCTCTTTTAATATTCATAATGTAAATATATAGGACATGTGACAGGCATCTTTGGTATCCTCTGCTTTGGAGGGTTTTGCAGGACTGAGGTAATTCTGTGGGATGTTTGGGATTTTCTCATACAGTGGTTTCACTCATAACTTAGGAATAGGCCCGAAATGTCTGTCATGACAGAAAAGAAAATTGTGCATTGTGGAACAGCTGAGCTTAGCTGGAGACTGAATACTCTTCCCTTTCTTTGCTGGGCAGCTGCTGAAGAATGCTTTTGGTTGACTGAAATGTTGTTAAGAAGTTCTCAACTGGTCACAGGGCATAGCCCTCACTTACCTACGAAATTGCAGCCATGATTTTGAAATGGCAAACTGTCCATTTCTTTGCTTCACACAGGTCAAAAACAACCACTGGGAGGTTTCAGGCTTTGTAAATCGGAAGATGGAAATGTCAAACTCAATAATAACATCTATTGTGTGTGGTATGTAAAATCACAAAAGTCACACTTCATACCTGAAATTTGTAATTTTATTTGTAACTTCAAACTGCAGTAGCTAAATTTGTCTTTTTAGTTTGTATAGCGCATGCAGTACTAACTGTTCTAGCTGCTCCCATTTGTGTATATGTGAGTGAGCACTGTGGAAAATAAAAGATCTGTGGCCTGTTTGCTGTGTCCCTTAGCTGTGTCCATTGGCGATGGCCAAACTCCAGCGTATCTCAACTCAGATAAATATGTTGATGGCATTACTAAGTCTAATTAACATGGCTGATCTCCTACAAAACAAGCTTAAAATATCTTGCTTATGAGAAGAAATTATGTGTGTGAGGGAGAGAGAAACACATCCAAAGTTTGGATTATGTGCAACAGTGGGAAGAGCAATACCTCGCTCTTTGTCCATCGTTTCAGGATATTAATGTCTTCCCAAGTGGTACAGTCTCAATCATCCTGTGACACCACTGGGGAAATAAAGAGAGAATGAAGGTCATTTATTCTGTGTCCTGTAGGAAATACACAGTAAAACTAGAATTAAAACCTTCCCCTTGCTGAGTCCTACTCCTTTGTCCTGATCAAAAGCTTGCTCTATCTCTCCACAGGTGTCCAATGCGTGTTTCAGCCAACCTTCCCTTTTGTGTGACAGCCTTTGTTTCTGATCTAAATTTAATTCTATTTCACATATATCTTGGCTTTTCTTGCTGCTGTTATCATAAACTACAAATCCCCAAGACTGATTCACCCAGTGGTAAAAACTGTTACTGTTACAGCTTGGGAACATGATTCTGTTTCAGAAACTGTGACTTGGTTTGTTTTACTTCTGGAGAGCCTTAAACATTTTCCTCTGCGATAAATCCCAGCAGCTCTTGACCTGAATGGTTTTGTGTATCTGGATGAGTAACTACTACTAAACTGGCTTGCTACCTAGAAGTTATGGATTTTGGGTCATTTTAAATGTTATATGCAAATGGATCTCAAGATTTTGTCTCATTAGCATGAAAATATACATATGTACATAATGAACATATAATGTGTATATGTATTTATATCTATGAATATATCTGTATGTATATATATTCATTTCAGGGGCAAGAAAGTAGATTATTTAGGGACAAGAGCAGAAACCCACACCCAACAGTCTAGATGGGGTTTGATGCTGGCCTAGATGCAAACTGAACAAGCAGACAATAGAACTTGTTTTCTGCTAGCCAGCAAGAGAGACTTGGCATCCTCCAAAGTGTTTGTGCCTGCATAGCACTACTGGACATCCACAGAAATAGCTTTGTCAGAAGAGGGA